TATAAAAACTGAATTTAGGGTTACATAAACCTAAACTTCAACTGAATACAAAGCAGAAAAGCTATATGCTTTTATAGATGAAAAGAGCGATTCCTTGTCTAGATATTGTTTTCCTTATAGACTCGCGAAGTTGACATACTGTTTGTTCATAAGTCTTATATCAAAGGACCAGAGCACTGTCTGCCTAGTGGAAAGAATGGTCTCTGAAAGAAAGTAACTCATATTTACTTACATAGAAAAACAACAACAACAAAAATGTTTATGCAATTGGATCATTCTCTAGGTTTCGTACTTAACATGAACTACTACTGTTTAGTGATGAATGGTCAGACAATATTCCAACAACTTTTTAGAGATGTAAAAAATTAAAGATATCCATCCAATTTCGTTCATTATCCAGAAATTCTTACAAAGGATAAGAAATGATTTACAGTCAAAAGTCTTTAATCCGGACCTCAAAGCTACAAACTTTCTGCGCATAATACCTTTACGCATTCGCATTTAATGTATAACGGACGGTATAAGCTAAGCTAAAATTATCTAATTATCTATTTCAGTTAATGTTGATGATTGCGTTGTTCCTTAATCTTCGAATTGGATCCGGCTTATTATTTTTTGCAGACTGTTAAAGCAATTTTTATAAAAGTAAGCTTGAACTTTCGATTATGTCAAAAAGAATTTCCAATTCTGGAGCTGCCAAAGGGTCTACAAAGCGAAAGCATGTTTCGATGTCCATCAAACAAAAAAATGGAACTGCTGAAAAAAATGGATAAAGGCACATCCTTTGTTTCTCTAACCATTCCGAAATCTGTTTATCAATTTCACGCTGCTCTGCAGGGGAGGGGACAGCGCGGCGCGCAATGAACTGGAAGTTGATCTGTCAGCACTATCCTTATCTTCAGGGCAGATGTTTTTATTTTATTTGGCTTATAATTCCTTACTAAACGTAGTATTTTATCTCGATGTACTCTGTCTTTGATATGATTTAAATCAAATTCATCGTCATTGTAAATATCACGAATACACATCAAATAGTTTTCTGGTTGCAATTTTCTAATTTTGACTATGCGTAAAGTAGGCTTTACGCATGCGCACGTTGAAAGAAATGTTTACTAAAGTAAAAAAAATAAATAAATATTAAGCTGCTTTTTTTTTTTTTTTTTTTTTTTTTTTGGTAAATTTTGATACCCTTTAGATCAGAATTGCTCTTTATTTCATAAATTACGGTTTCATATTTTTAATTTTATAATTTCTGCATGCCATCTTACCAGATTTAAATTGATGATCTATAATCCGGAATTACCGAAGTCCCGACGAGTCCGGATTAAAGACTTTTGACTGTATTTTAAATTTTGGCTTTTGTAGACCAAAAGATACCGATTTTCCTCAAAATAAAGACAGCAGATCATTTTCTTCTGTTCTTTAAACGATGATTTTAATAACTCCATATTAGAGACAGATTTTCCTTTGTTATTCACTTGAACTTAACAAAGATCGTGTTTGTTAATTTCAAATAAGGACAGATGTGGTCGACAGGACTACAGCACTGGCAAACATTAACCACAAGGGAAAAAAAAAGCGCGAAAGAAGTTATCATATCCCAAGCTGTATTGAAAAGAAAAATTGGGAAACAAGTAACTGTATTGATCAAATATTGGAAAAAATCTGTAAAAAATGAAATCAATTTCAGTTAGTTTTAGGGAGATTAAATCCAGATAACTTTAGCGGAAAATAGCAATGGTTACATACATAGCTAACTTTCTGTTTGACATCAAATTATTGGAAGAATACGACGTTGTGATAAATGACATTAAAAAATTGCTCTCAAGCACTGTTAAATATTTGAATTCTGCAACATAAAATGAGTTAATTGATTGTTTAAGTAGTATTTGTTTGAAAACACAGCTTTTGGATGAAATTAAAAATTATCTTTAATTTCTTTGTACGAAGTAAAGAAAGTACCATAATTGCAAAAACTTCAGTTATTATATTTCATGAAATATGATTACCAAAGTTAATAACTTGGAAATATGATAACTGGTATTTGACTGTTCCCAAATCGATCTGGGACCCACGAGCGGCCGAGCAGTAATGTCGCTGAACAATGGTAGTTCGGTGCGAGGTTTGAATTCCCCAAATGGCCCGGCTGGCATGGGCCTCTGTAATTTTCCCCATGTGTAGCGTGTATACAAGCCAGTTCCTCTTAGAAAGGCCTCTACGAAGGCATCCCTTTCCCTAGGAAGATATCGCTTTGTCGTAATCGCATAAACCAAACCGAATCCATTTTGGGGGAGACGCATGATGTCTGTACGTACAAACAGAATAAAGGACTCTTTTTTTTTTTTTTTTTCAAAAAAAGGATTTAAAAGGGATTTTTTCTCGACATTTGTATGTTTCGATGTACATAGGTATGTATACATATATTATGTGATAAAACAAAACTCAGAAGTAAATGACCAGCAGGAAATTTGATACCATAGAAGTGTTGATCCATAACGAATAGGAAATTGGAAGCAAAGGCAGATTATATCTTCACATTTTATTTCAGCAACATCCTGTGGGCACAAACAAGTTGTAACATTAACTGTGCCTATTCCAAAAAGTATACATTTTTAGATAAATTTGCAGTAAGAAAGAAGGAACGGGCAGATTGCGGTCAAGCTAAGCGAAAGTGTAGAAAGCAAGTGCGTTATGCTGAGGGTGAAATCTTAATTCAGACCGAGTTAATTTCAGTTCTCAATGCATTTTGATTCGATTGTTAATATCCCTATAAAATTACTATTGGCTGTTTGAGTTTTTAATTCCATTTATATCATCAGAATTATGTAAGAGTCATATGACATAGATTAGTCTCAAAATTATGCAGTGCAAATAGAGGTTAATATTTTTAGAATACAGAAGGGAATTTAAGCTGCTAATTAATTCTTTTACATATTCTTTATTTTTCTTACATGTTTCTTACATATGCATCAAATAATTGAAAACGATTAGTCGCAGAGCGTTGAAATTTTGCACATGGGGCTGCGATAATATCCATTTGTGAAGTTGTCTTTTTTACTGCAATTGGCAGTGTACATACATATTAACCCCTTACCCAGCCTTTATTTTCACAATCGTTGGTCTTGGTCATATCTTCCCATTACAAAAATGTTTTGGCTATGTCAAATTTTAAAAAACATAACTTTCGACAAATAACAAAATTTGTCTCCTGGTTCCTATACTTGGGAGTTTTGTACTCGTTATGAAAAAGTAAATTAGAAGAAGTTTTGACTCCCGTACGACAAAAAATTGACCGGGATATTTTGATTCAAAATTTGGAATTTTTATATCATTTGCAACTTGCCTTTAAGGATCGGGTAATTAAGTTAAAATTATTCGAGGAAACAATTTTAAATGAAATGCAGCAAAAAGTGTGTCTAATTTAATAGGCGATACAAGCAAGTCTTGCATGTCCATATCAGATTTTTAACTATTACTCCTGATCTGATAAAAATGATTATCAAAATGTTGGCTTCTGGAAACCTAGATTTTGGGAAGAGGGTTAGTACTGTAAATTTATTGGGGAAGGGGGCCCAAGAATTTTTTTTACATAGGGGCCCTAGAGTTCTAATCCGCCACTAGATGACAGGTACGTGGTACGACAATATATCCATTTTGGCGACAAGATATGTGGGGATAGAGACAGTTGAAATCAATATGTCCAAAATATCACCTCTTCCAACACAATTAGGTAAGTATGTGAATTTCGTGGGTGCATAAAAGTATATTATGTGGTTATTTATGAAATTTAGAAAAGTTTCTCCGTTCCCCATTTCTCTTTCTACAGCTCTATTCACTGTTCTTGGCATTACCCGGCCAAGATAATTGGCTTGTCGGTGGGTAGCAGATCGCTTAGAATTTTTTCATCTAAAGAATTTTGTAGTGGGTTGTACATGGAGCTGGAATACATGATGCCATATAATGGAAGTAGAACTGAAATTGTGATTATTTCATGGCATCCTCATTGATATAACAGAATTGCAACTTGTTTTTAACATGAATTACAACCTCTCCCCCTCTCTGACTCAACCTATTGCACTGATAGCATCTATAATTAGCGATCTTCATACTAATACTGGAATTAACATGAGTTTCTGAGATGAGTCTCATTAGTGATGAGAAAATTTTGTAGTTCCTGGATTTTTATACTGAATGCTTCTTGCATTCCAAATCATTACTTGTATGGGTGCTTTGCTAATAGTGTGATGACCCATTACCGATAGTATTGGAGGTAGTTTTGTCCCCATTTTTGTCATTTAACTGTAGCAATAATTGGGTGATTTGTACAAAGGCTGCACTTTTTATAACCGAAACAAGTTCGGCCAAGTCTGCAAATATTTTTTTAGTCTCACTGATTGTTTCCATGTAAATACTTGAGGATAAGGCATATGCATATGATTTGCCTTCTATAACTCTATTGGCAAAAAGTTTTGTCCTCTTTTGCTTTGGTAATTTTGTGCAACCTTTGAAACTTGCAGTGTGTGATTCTCCACAGTTCACACAGCAGAGTGGCTTTTCTTTATTATTTTTATCAGGACATTCATTTGAGTTGTAGTCTTGTGCACAATGCACACATTTAAGAGGGTAATTTCAAATGAAGGATTTAGTGACAAAAATTTCTGGTGACTTTGCTAAAATAAATTTTGTGAACAGAAATTTCCTGAAAATGCTCATCAACATCATATTTTTAACTGTTTCACTTCTGATTTTCCAAACCTAAAAATACAAAGTAATTTAATTTAAAAAATATTATAAATAAAGCTTATAAACAAAAAAGGGTTTTCATATATTTTGCTGTAAAGTTTGAATATACTAAATTCTGATTTACAAAAATTTCCATACTTTTTTCAGTTTCCTTCATTATATTTTAGGGAAATGCCTTATTGTTTTATTTTTCAAATGAAGTCTGGATTTTATTTGCGACAAATTATACATTTTATAGATGAAAAAAGTTATGAATGTTTAATGAATAAGAAAAATCAATTTTTCCTTTTATTTCTAAACAAGTAAATAAACAAGTACATGCTTAAAAAATAAAGCGGTATTCTGCTTACATTTCATTAAAGAATTGCAACAGCTATTCTAGACATAATAAAATATACAGTTTTTATTTTATTTTTTAAAAAAATGATCTAAACAAGTGTATAAAAGATCAACTAGATAACAATATGTATGTAAATCATACAGCAAATATTTACAGAAATAAGAAAATGCAATACTAGAACAAAATATTTTGTGCTGCAGTTCTATAACTTTTATTTTTCTGCAGTAAATTTTATTCTGTCCGTTGTATAATGTCCTGCATTTTTATAGTTCAACTATATTTGATATATCCAAAATGATTTGCACTCATTATCTGTATAAAAAATTTTATGACAATGAGCTTTGGAAAATCATTGTTACATATTTGCTTAAGCTATATATTTCAGTAATGCAGTTATAAGAAATTCAATAACTGTGTGTAGTATTTTTATTTTATTTTCCAAGTAGCTGTCTAATTACATCACAGAATGAGGAGGATGGCATTTTTCCAGCTACTATCTTCGTCATACCATACATAATTAAATTTAAGAGTTAAAGATGTGCACCATTTTGATAACATTTTTTTAGTATCATAAGTAGCGTTATTTTGGAAAGCTTTCTTTTAAACTACAGTGTATTTTTTAATTAAGATCACAACACCTTTGCATAATAAAAAAATTAATGCTCTCCCTTATATTCATTGCATTGAAATAAAAATCAAACTTACCCTTTTCCTTTTAACAGCATCAAATTTTTAGGGAAGAGAAATATATGAAATTATTTTAATATCACATGAAGTAACTCCATAATAACTTTCTAAAAATTACATTTATGACACAAATATCATAATATCTTAAAAAGCACCAGATGAAGGTCACTTTCTTTCATTACACAATGAATGTGCATAATTTAAAAGACAATATATTAGAAAAAAGCAATATTCTTAACTTTACAATATGCATAGCTTTGAATTGATTTTTGTATGGCAGTCTGAATAATATGCTGTACTACTTAAAGAGAAATCAGAAGTATATTTAGAAGGCAATAAATGAAAAATAAAATACATGTGACATAGGATGCAGCACGTGAGGTCTTGGATATTAAGATGCATCTGGCTTTGCTGTATCAAAACTGATAAAACATTGATATTTTGATGTGTCTGAAAAGTAAAAGATATCGCATGTTGGTACAAGAAATTTAACGATGCTTTTTTAAATCCCGATAGGAACAGTATGATAATATTAGTACTCCAAATTATTATGTACAATCACAAATAATTTGCAATTGATATAACTGTTTTGAGGAATCACAGAACTTTTCAAACTACCTGGAATGTATTTATTTTGGTCCCATCATAAAGTTGTTTTGAAATAAGAAGACAATGCAAATAATTTATCATGACAAAGTTTGCAATTTCAAGACATCAAAATTTGTTTGATAAAGTAATACTGATATCTAATCTGCCTTCTAAAAATGTATTTACATATGAGTATGTATTAAACATAATAAGCAGCAGTTTTGCAATTATTCAGATGCTCCATGTAATCAAGTGTCTGTACATACATTATGTTGATATACACATTGCACAATATGGCATTTAGTGATAGCAAAAATGCTAACGAATTTAAACCAACTGGAATGCATAAAAGTATAAGATTTTATATACTGTATTCTAAAATTTATATGCTTAAATAAAAAACTAAACATGTATGGCACATCCGGTGATTTTCAGTCTTAAAAATTGCTATTTAAAGTGGCATAAAACATTTTTAATAATACACAAACCTGATATAATTTCATTATATGTGGACAATTTAAAATTACATGAATAATATAACACGTTGGTTTCTTCGTTCATGTACCCATTTCATTAATATTTTTTTTCAGATGGCAAAACATAAACATGAAAGATCAGTTTCTAAACAACAGAGAATTTGATTCCCATCAAAATAAAATGTATAATCGTTTAGACTTCAAATAAGACATGCAATTAAAATAAAAGTTTCATTGCATTAAATTCTTTTTACATCATCAGAATTACTAAGTTTATATTTTGTAAAACAGTTAATTGAATATCACAGTCACTGTATGGGGTTTTAGAAGGAAAGAAAGTTTTTCCATCAGTGCTGCTTTTGATATAACTGTAATGCGTTCCTTTATGAGAATTTGGCATTAATGTTGAGCAGAAGCTCTAATAGGCATTACACTAAAATTAGTAATAAGACCATCCATACTAAAATCTAGTATTTGTGACTGCATTTTTAACAAAAGCTTTGTCTTGAAAATATCTTTGGTCATATCACTGTCTTCTACAAAAGATAAAACTGCTGCTACTCTTCAGAAATCTGGGATATCACAGAATAGTGTCAACTGAAGAGTATGGAGAACCCGTGGATGATTCTAGTTTTGCACTATCACTATATTCTCTTCAATCACCATAAAACCTGTAATAAAAAAAGGTGTTTCAATTATTTCGCTTACACAAGCTAAGTTGATTTACCCATTTCAACTATAGTGATATTCCATTATAGTACAATCATGTCCTACATCTGCTAATTTGGAATCCATTGCTTACAATCGAAAGTGACTTCTCAAGGAAGAGGGGCTGCTGTTTATGTTTGTAAATACATATCTCTATTATTAAATAATGAAGAACCCATATGTACAATTGTACGCATGTATATTTGTTTTTTTCACTGTGAAAAAAATGGGGCACATAAAACCACCAAATTTTGAACATGCATAATCCTTCATCCGAACTTATGCACCTTGAAGTCAAATTTTGAATTTGTTCCTTATGTGAATTTAATGAAATTTTGCTGTGTAAAGCAATGTGCTGCCATTCAGCAAAGCATGAGATATATTTTTTCTTCCTAATTTAATTAAAAACTCAGCGACTTAAAAGAAGTGTGTTGCCAGAGCTTCCATTTTTTTTTTCTAAATTTAATCTGCTACTGATTTTAATAAACTAAAACGATTTAAATGCAATAAATGCAGTCGTCATCTCTCATTATTAATAGTAATTAATACTGATAGTAAATTAATATTTCATCTTTCATTATTAATAGTAATTAATGAGCTGAAGCTCATTAAAATCATTTTTTGTGATAATGATTTTAATTATAATAACAGCAGGCCATAACATAATGGACTACTGAAATATAACTGCTCGAGCATTCCAGTACTGTCATGGTTTTAAGCACATGTATCCTTCATTTGAGCCGAGTATGGTTGTCTCTAGAACATTAGGTATGTTCTCAACTTTCAAGTGAAAGAAATTGTATTAAAAACTGAAAAAGTTGTTTTGAAAATTTATCTTGCTCAAATGTGTTACTCTCAAAACTGAAACTTTATACAATTTTACTGAATGCCTCTCTTACAAGTAACTAGAAACATCTTTAAGGTATTCTGTAAAGAAGTTGAGGAAAAAACGAAGGGATGAGTTAAAATTTATATTAATCTGGAACAGGGTAAATAAGAATGGGTAAACAGCAAATCCAGACTAAAAAGGGCAGACCAGGATTATATATATATTCTTATAATTATCCTAATAAATTCTTAAAATATAAATTATTATTTTCAACCTTTGTATAAATCAGTTCTTACACCAATAACTTTAGAAATATATGTCTATAATTCAGTTTCAAATTGCAATATTTTTCCATGTTAAAAAAAAATCAAATACATGTACTTGATTTGATGCAAAGTAAGTGAATGTTTATTTTACATCACATTTGTTTGCTATGTAAACTAAACAAATAAATCGATTATTTCCGTTATTAACGTAACCGGCCTTTATAATATTAGAAGATAAGCTTTAGAGCAGGGTTTCTTAAACTTTTTTCAGTCGCGACCCCTTTTTATCACAGAGATTTTTTCGCGACCCCCAGGAGACCCCATAATGTTTACAATAATTTTGTGGGACCCCATAAGTATTGCTCAAATCCGACACACGTGTGAGTGAAACTGTCAATTTTTTCACTTGTACCGTAATATACTATTGCAGTTTTAGGTCATTAAATTTATTTTCTAATTCTAAGACATAAAACAATGTAAGAAGTTTGAACGTTTATATTATAAAGAAAATTTGTTGAAACGCTTTCGTTTTTTTCTTTGTCTGTAGTATCTTATCCTTATTTTTTTCAGATATATTGCGTAAAAATATTTGGTAATTGTAAAATTATTATAATAAGTTAAAGAAATATCATTTTGAAATGCCATTTTGCCGATTTTGGAAATTTCTGGCAATCCTACGTTTTCACGAATTTTCTTGTACGAGTTGAATCTTTTTAGTCTTTCTTTTAGTTTGTTGCTGTTTGATACAGCCGTGGACCGCGATGATGAGTTTTCGCGATGGATAACCTGGTTTGAGAGTTATTTGAACTTTACTTTATCCGTTTGATTAAAAAATTATCCTTATATTAAAATATTTTTTTCTTAGTTATCCAGAACCTCTGTTTGTTGCTAATTGTCAGCCCATTTAGCATTATCTCGAATTTGTTGAGTTTGAATTTAAGGAGAAGTACTTTTCCGTTATGCACGAGACACGCTTTTGAGTGTTTATGAAAAAAAAAAATCAAACACATGCGGACACCCAACAACTATGACTAGAAATAAGTATGTTGCCTTTTATTCTTATAACAAGAAATTGCCTACATCTCACTATTATGATATTACGCAGTTCATCAAATTCGGCAAATCGAAGTCAAAAGTGAAAGTGCCGTTTTTTACATAAATGTTTAAACTGAAAAAAGGCATTACGATTTCACGCGGTTTGCATAATTTGGGGGTTTATCGCGGGAGCTGCGAAAAATCAAGTAGTACAAAATTTTCTGTGTAGATTTCAACAAAAATTGTACTTGAAATCAAAATAGCGTCATTTCTATAGATTTTTTGGAAATAAAATTAAGTTTTAAGAAATTTCTCTACGGTTCAAGTCTTCTTCGGCTCTGGTAATAATGATGAAATGTCTTCTTATTGCTTGGCAAAGTCTCTGAACCATTTCCCGTGGGCTCGAAAAACAGTTGTGTACCTTCACTGTGGGCTCTTGGCTCAGCGGTTATGGAAAGGGGGAAAATTATCGAATTGAGTCTTGATGACTAGGTGATTAGTGCTCTTTTGTCGGGCAAGCAGGGAAACGGTCCGATTTCCTTTCAATATCCAGTTCCAGTGCTCTAGGCGTTAGAATGTGGGATGCACCCTTATTGCTTTCACACGGCAGGTAGATGAATGCAGTTTTCCCAAGGAAAAAAAATATTATCATCAGATAAAATGTATGTTACAACCAGTGGCATAGTGAGGGGGGCAAGGAGGTGCATGATGCCCCGGGCGCCGCTCGCAGAGGGGCGCCAAATGGTCTCCAAACAAGATATTCCGGAAAATTTCAGTTTTTATTTTGCTCTATTTCTGGAAAATATATTTAAAATTAATAACTATTGTAATATAATTAATTATTTATTTTCTTGATTTGTCTGATAAAATGTGTAATAAAATGTTTGCAGTACATCAACCAAAACGTTGTTTCTGACCACTTTATTTCTCTAAAGTAGAGATATATTTTAATTTTTAAAAACGAAATGCACATATATCTCCCACTTTTTATTTTAAAACAATAACATGATTTTGTCCCGAATTTCTCAAAGATATCCAATTTCCAAAATTCGGTTCCATAATCTGGAAATGACATTTTGGGAAAATCCTAACGCTTCCGCTACAATGGATTGCGTTTGACTCCTGTAAACGACTGATGGCCTTCCTGGCTACCGATTCAACTAAATCATCTTGCTGTGACATTGTATATTCACTGCTACGAAGCATTCAATGCATGTCAATTTTTTTAATAAATACTACAAAAGGAATAATGCAGGTTGCTCCTTACTCCTTCTCTAAAATGCATAGTTTTCGACGTCACAAACTAAATTTGCATATTCCCAGCTTTGTAAAGGTTATAATTTTCCTGTATAATCTCTTCTATTTCCTTTTTTTCAAAAGGTTATTGATTATATGGTTATTTCGTACTGAACCCACAGTAACCCCTAATTGTTTTGAGCAGTGAATGTGACTGCATGACACTACTCCGCAGTAGAAAAGAAATGGAACCTAAAACTCCACTACAGATCTATAGAGAAAATATTTTTCCAAACCTAAGAGTCGCCCTTCAAATACTACTTACTATTTCATTATCAAATGTTGTTCAGCAAATTTAAATAAATTTTCACATATTTACAATCAACAATGGGACAAGATCCCCTAAGTCATCTAGCATTTTTAAGTGTGGAAAGAGAAAAATTTGAAAGGATTCACTTCAATGAAGTAAATGATAAATTTGCTTCATCCAAGATAAGAAAAATGTATACATAGTAATTAATTTATTCAAGTAATTATATTATTATTAATAAATATAAGTGCCCGATAAATATAAGTTGAGGTGCACGTGATTGAAGCGAAATGAGGGCAAATAAAAAGTTTTTAAGTTGGCTGGTGGTGTGTCTGATAATTTTAGATCTTTGGCACTCCAAACACGAACGTGTCCAGTTGGCTATGTCCTTTTGCATGCTAGGCCATACGAAACATTGCTGTATCAGTTTCCTCGAAGCCTTGATGCCAGGATGCGATAGACGATGTAACTGACTAAAAATGGCATGGCGAAACTCGGAGGGAACATAAGGTCGAAATCTTGAATCCTGAACATCACAATAAAGTGATTTTCCAGGTGACAGCTGCGTAAGTGCAAGTTGAGATTGGTGGAAGATTTGCTTTTCAAGAGGGTTTGTAGTTCTGAATCCCGGTTTGTTCGTACGCAAGGGCAGCAAAGTTTATTGGCGAAGGAACGGCTAGTTCTTCAATACGAGACAAGGTGTCTGCAACAATATTCTGCAAACCCTCAATATAACGGATATCTGTTGAAAATTGCCCTATGAAATCTAGGTGTCTCAGTTGACGAGCAGAAGCTTTATCCGAACACTGTTGGAAATCATAGGTTAAGGATTTGTGATCTGTGAAGATCATGAAAACGCGTCCCTCTAGCATATGTCGAAAATATTTGACAGCTTCATAAATTCCTAATAATTCGCAATCGTAAGTGCTGTATCTGGTTTACGCTGGTGAGAGTTTTTTAGAAATATGAAAGTGCTCTCCTTAATTCTTGATCTTTCTGTTGTAAAACTGTTCCTTATACCTGTTGTTGATGCATCAACGTGTAGAGACATTAAGTTATTTTTTGGAAGCAGAAGAGATGAAAAATATGCAATGCCTTCGCTGGGAATCGAACCGTGGACTTCTGAGTACCGGCCCAGCGTGCAGAACCACTACATCACAAAGGCACGCTAGGAAAGTGGAAGAAATACCTTATAAACGTAGAGTGATAATGGTTTAGATGCGGAAGGATACTGCAAATTTGTTGCCGAAATTAAATTATTTTTGCATTTTTGGAACTCTTTGCGAG